CGGACCGGGTTCGACCGCCCGCCAAACTGTCGGTCGGGTTGTCGAACCGTCGCGCGACCCGACAAGCTAGAACGGGTGAGAGGTGAGGAGGGGGGTAGGTGCGGGGCAACCATCTCATAGGTAAGGTGGTGGGGGACAGGTGGCATGACGCTCTCTCTCTCCCTCCCGTTCGCTTGTCGGACCAAGGCGGCTCGACCGTTGCAGGGCTCTGCCACATGACGGCCATCCATATCCAACCACCCACCATAGGCCCGCCCGGGCCCGACAGCCCCGCCCGAGGCCCCGCCCGAGTGAGGGATAGCAGCACGACAACCGTAACCTGACAACGTAGTGTATAGATTTTTTCGAAGGCTACTGTTTGTCTTCCTCTTGTTTTCTCACGCCGGCGAATAAGCCGCGCACACATGGGTTCTGCGCATCGCCCTCCCCGCAAGTCGAGCGACGAGGGACATCTTCTTGTGAGGCCCGGACGAGTGCCGGACGCGCTGCAGCACACATGTGGCTGGTCGGCGGCCCAAAGCCGGCCCGGCCACCCTCCCGCGGGCCTCCCCTAACAGAGTCCGGGGCGCAGCGCCCCTCCGCCGCCCCTCCCCCACACGCACACTCATTCCCTCCGCCTCAATTTCGTCCATTGGCTGGCCCGTTAGTGCTGCTACTGCAGCGGCAAGCGACCCGGGAACAACACCCCCGACGCGAGGAGAACGAGCACTTGCGGGCCTTTTATTTTCATTCGGGATTGAACTGCCCCCGCTCTCGTGTATCTGTGTGTGTGTGTGACTGCTCTGAATGTGTTTGTGCGTGTGTGTGCGTACACGCGCACTTACGATACATTCGGTTCGGGCCGAGGCACCTGAGCCCCGCGGCTGGGTCTCCCCCACCTCTCCCACACGGCGGCACGCGCTTCGTAGACCTTGGGGAAGCAAATTGAGGCAATCATTGGAGTTGGCGATAGTAGTACCTCTCCTTGGCGTTGCGGGAGCGTCCGCCGACGGCTATGCTCCCTCCTCTTTGCCGGCCGGCCGGCCGGCGCGAGTCCTTGAGTGGTGGAGGTCGCCTCCTCGCCGTTCGCTCGGCCGTCGCCGTCGGGAGGATAGCCGCCTCGCCTCCTGCCCGAGGACCTGCTTGACGCGCGCCGCGGGGGGGACACGGGACCCGACGGGACCCGACGGGACGGGCGCGACCGCGATTATCGGCCGCTGAAAAGACCACTAAAGTGCGCCGTAGTACAGTCTGTGGCGACGACGGCGGCTATTATGGGAAAACGGAGCGGGGTCACATAGGAGTGATGACGCTCCGAACGGAAATCATTGGAGG